TTGAGGTGCACCGAGAGCACCTCCGTCAGCCGCTAGGGCTCATGCGTAAGTATAAGCTCTATGCGAACCTGAAGAAGTGTATCTTCGGGGCGAGCGAGATACCCGTCCTTGGGTGTCTCGTCGGGAAAGACGGCGTACGTCCTGACCCAGAGAAGGTCAGAGTGATCAATAAATGGCCTACGCCATCCAGTGTAAAGGAACTGAGGCAGTTCCTTGGGCTTGCAACGTACTTGTGCAAGTACGTAGAGAATAACGTGGGCAAGATTCTCCCGCTGTCGCAGCTTCATAAGAAGGATGCTGAGTGGAACTAAACTGCTGAGTGTCAGCAGGCCTTCGATGTAGTCAATCAGGGCTTGACTAAAGCGCCAGTCTTGGTAGTGGCTGACCAAGACCGCCCGTTCCACGTTGTGTGTGACGCATCCGACTTTGCTATCGGATGCGCGTTGATGCAGCACGATCACGAGGGACGTGATCGTGTGGTCTACTACCAGTCGCGTCAGCTGAAGCCAGCTGAGCGCAACTACCCTGTGCATGACAAGGAGCTCCTTGCCATGAAGTATGCACTCGCGAAGTTTCGAGTGTATTTACTTGGGAGTAGACCATTCGTGGTCTACACCAACCACGCTTCACTGCGAACGGCAGTGAAGTCGCCGCACATCTCGCAACGTATGGCGAGATGGTTGTCGTTCTTCGCGAAATACGACTTCCGGGTGGAGTACAAACCCGGAAGGTTGAAGGTGGTGGCGGACGCGTTATCGCGTCGACCTGGTTATGCTGTTAAGACAGCCGACGCCAATCGAATTGGCGTGGAACGTGTGAGTACTCCGTCGTCATGATTGATTGACGACGTGAAGGCCGCGTATGCGAGTGGCGCAGACGCGAAAGCGTTGCTGGACTGTATCTCAGCGACTTCCGACGAAGGGCATCGGAAGCTGGCACCACGCCTTCGTGCTCGTGCACACAGGTATCGTGCGCGAAGGTCCGCTGCTTTACAGCGCAGTGGACGATGACGCGGTCGCGCCGAATGATTATGATCTGCGTATGCGGATCGTGTATGAGCATCACGATGGCATCCGGGCCGTGAGAAGACGTACGCTCTCTCACGAGAGACT